CTTGAAAATTTGTTTAGGAGCAATGTTTTATAAAGGGTTTAATTGGGTTCAGAAGGAAGGGGGGGGAGTGCAGGTGGACAGGGTTCAGAAGGAATTCAAACCCTCATTAATTGGGCTTCCAATTTAAAAATTTAGGGCCAAAAAAAAATTAGCATTATAAAGGTACCATTTTTCAAACAGGGGGGTCTGAATAATTTTGGAAAAATTTAGCATTATAGAGGCACCCTTTACTAATCGTGATCCAACATTATCACACACACTCGATCGCTGCATGCAAAACCAACCTTCCACGGGCTGTCTGCTCTGCAGACCTGGTGTCTAATTCCAGCAAGCTTGTCGCGAAGGTCCCAAGATCAACTCTATACTTTTGGCAAGGGTAATGGACACATTTTCGCCGTGAGTACTGTGAAGATCTTTTGGGCTACGGGGAAGGAACATTGCTACTGGCATCTACTGGCTGTGTGCCACATGGCGTTTTGTATAGTTTGTTCGATTGTGCAAATGTGGTGAGCCTGAGGTCAAGACCGGGAAAGATAAATGGCGTCTCTTCCTTTGAAAGGACACAACGAACAAAAATCTGTACGAGGGAATAGCAAGCACTGCGGACGATTTGATTCATTCGTACGACCTCGAACGACCAGTCAACGTGCGGCGCGGGCGGCTGATGATCGCCCAAGAATAGCGTTTGCTTTAAGGCTGGAAGCGAGCGTCTCAAGGCCATTGGTTGGGATGGGCATGAGGGGGCTGGGGCATGGACGATGAGGGGGCTGTTGATGCCTACCACCTCAGCGGTTTGTGAACGAAAGGGTAATTGATATGGTTTAGGTGAGTTTAGGTGTACATAAATAACATTCAACCAACAGGCCATCATATGTTGTTGCGGTGTTCTCTTGATTTTGTAACTATATAGCTGGAAACCATGATGGTTATGATTCTTACTTCTCTGAGAACCAGTCCCTGCTTCACAAGTTCAAGTTGTTGGCCTTCCTTTGATCTCATCACAGTGGCATTTGTTTGGCCATACTTGCCTTCCGGCTATGTTACATTTGCCACCGCAAACGTCCTCCACATTAGTTTGTTTTCCACTTCATGTCATGTGTATGTAGGCCATGCAGCCATGAACCCATCTTGTACCTTTCGTGTGACCATGAGATATGTTGAATGGTGCAGCCTGCCTGTTTATGGAGGTTCCTGGACATTTCTGGTGCACCCTTGGAGTGGACAGGAACCATCCAAAAAGTATTTCCCCGCCAAAAGACTCCTTTGCTGCTTAGAGATGGACCTCCAATCTGCGGAGACCCCTAAGCAGCATGGATGAGACGATGAAACCTTTTTTTGTGTCTTTGGCTGGCCATGTGTGTCCCTTTTTTGGTGGTCTAGAATCGTTCAAAGCGTTTTGCGGATGGCAGTAAGATTGCGGACCATATCATCCAGGAAACGACGATTAAATGGCCTATATTGATTGGGGATCCATTTGATTGGAACATTTTGGAGCCAAATCGTTCAGTCTTTGTTTTGGAGATGCTTGGTGAATGCTTCATGGCTCACTAGTTTCATGTTTGGGATTCTCAATACATCAAAAGGGTGACAGGCTCCACTAATTGGATTCCTGCTTGAGATTGATGACCTCCACTATTTCAAGTAGATTACAACTCTCAAGGTATCCTGGAATATGCAGGATTCCCCATATTATTTCGCCAACATAGCAGCACATGTCTTTTGCTGGAACGACTGCTCACGAGCGCAAGCACTGCATTTGTTTGCAAGCTGTTTTCAGGCCCAGCAAAAAGGAATCCAGCTTATGCAAATGTACTGTTCTGACTTGGTCCTAGGAATGCTTAAGGGAAAATCTACAGGAAACCCCTTGTGTAGCTTAGCTGTTCCCTTTGTTCCAACCAATGGAAAGTGGATCCTCAACGCCCTTTCGATTTGGGTGAACATCACCAGAGCCAGGAGAGCCTCTCGGAAGGCAATGCACGGAAGGAGACCCAGGCAGGCGAAGGGTTCGAGGGACCTTTTTTGGTTCGGACGAGTTCCAAGCGATTGGACAAAGGCATGCCTCCATCGTTGGGGGGAACAGGTCAAACTCTACGGAACAGGCATGTAGACATCTTCTGGCTAAAAGGTAGACATCTTTCACAATTGGAAGATCCATACACTACAGTAGATACTGCATGCTGGGGTTGGTGAAGATTTGGTTGATAAGAATAGGCATAGTCATGGTGGGTTTTGTAATTACTCACTGGGGAGCTCCAACTGCCATGAACCACCAATCATCAAGAGGCACCATGCGGTTTTCGTTCATGAGGATGCAATCCGCAGAGCTTGGCTGGGGCGTTGTTGGACAATTTTTGAGCTCTCGATGCTTTGCTGGGGCGTTGTTGGACAATTTTTGAGCTCTCGATGCTTTGCTATAGGGCGTTGTTGGACAATTTTTGAGCTCTTGATGCTTTGCTAGGGCGTTGTTGGACAATTTTTGATCTCTCAATTTATGCAATGGCAAACATCAAATTCATTGGATGTTTGGGTATGTTTGTTTTTGTTCAAAGGCTCCAGCATCTTAAAAGGTGCTTGTTTCGTGAGATGTATGATGATTTTGGAGCCATCATGCACATGCCAGCATCCAATTGATGTTTTGCCATTCTACTTGTCAAAAGGTTTGGAGCCGTGGAGCTCCAGCTCTGTGTAGGTTCAAAGAAGGCCATTCTCCTTTTAAAGGCCACTGCCACAGAGATCAACACTACAACGGGGCTTTTTCTTTGGAAAAGCATCCAACCACATGGTCCGAGTGTGGCCCACGCGGGGATGCTGGTGAACATCCGGAGAAGCGAGTATGCAAACCGCCCCAAAATCATGGGGAGTACCATGCAAATCCCTAATATGCGATATATAGTAATTTCCATGAATCAAGATCCCTACAGTTTAGGATCCATTGTTTTCTATTGTAAGGAATAAACTCCCTGAACTCATCATGGAAGTGGAGTGAAAACCACCTGTTTCTAGGAGGATTTCATGGTCATCCACGGGCCACGCCATCCATTGTTTTGGAGGCAGAGCCACATGTTCTTTCTCACTGCCAGCGGTGGTCATGAGCCGTTTATACATGAAAGACATTGAACATGGATGAGAATAGATGGTGGCACTTCATTCAGAGGAAGTGACCCGACGGTCCGAACCAGCCAAAGGCGGCAGCACCTCGACTGAAGGCTTTTGCAACTGATGACTGAGCCTATTGGCATATCGACTTTGAACGAATGGGCTTTCACCTATCCTTCTTTGTAACGACCACCATGATCCGCCATGTAAATTGGGATATAAACTGATATATATATATATATAAGATAGTATTATATTCTTTTGAAACCCATGGCCCATGACCAAACAAGAGTTCTCAAAACTCACTGTCACCATTTGAGGGAGCCTCCCACCAATAAACTTAGACACCCAGAGTCTTTTGATCGTCCCATGAGCTTCAACACCTAGCTTTGGCCGTTGGACCTTCACGCCATGGCCGTGAACGCGCTTGCCGCGGCGGGCCTTCTTTCCGCAGTGTCCCGTTGCGCTGCCGGTGGGCCAGCGCCCAGGATCGAGGATGAGGAGAGTAGCTACCGGGAATGTGAGAGCCAGATTGCAATGGTTGGTCTTCCAAAACAGCCAGTTTCTGTGTTCAGAATTTTAACGTTCAGAGTACGTCTCAAAAGCAATTCTTAATATGATTTAATATGTCTGAGTCTTATATATTTGCTTATCATTTCTTTCTGCTTCTTTGGGTGTCCTCGCTGATAGCATGAGTGCCAAGCATCCAACCAAAACCCACAGATCTGCGGCGGTGTTCAGAACGTCAGATTCGCACAGAGCTGTGGGAGTATTCTTGGAAGATCAACAGTCCGACCTCCGGGAGGAGACATTGAGGAAATCACATGTTGGGGTTCTTGTGTACATGTTCAACTGATGCACACGATGAGCTCTTGCAAGTGTCCCTGGGCCACAGATGGTCCAATCTAGAATCTAGAATGATCCCAATGTTCTAGCACTTCAGACGCATTCACTGACTAAAGGGATGGGTTGGTGATGTTCAGACAGGCTATCTATAGAAAGAGGGTTCTTTAAAAGCAATCTGTCGGCTTGGAATTCCGAAATCGCTTCTTCACTCCAGTTGCTCCATCCAGTTCCGGGGCGGAGCTGGGGAAAGGACTATCTCAGACCGACCGATGTGGTCGAGAAGTTCCTCGCCAGTGGCCGCTCGCGATCCTGCGAGCTTCCGAGTGTAGCTTGGCTATGATGATGTTGGTGGAAATTGGTGGATATGTCAATGGCTCGGCCACATGATATTATGTGTACTGTGTGGAAACCTTGATGCATGTCATTATAGATGTAACATGATGTAACCTCTTATCAATACCTCCATCTCAATCGCACATCAATCCATCGGTCGCTTTCTCTGCCGCTGGCTAGACATTGATGTTCGGCTCGCTACAGCCAGCTGCAAAACCATGCCAGATCCATCTGGGTCGCCGTGTCTCAGTCTCCTGATGGAAACATCACCTTCTTCCCATCACCTTTGCAGGGAGTTTTTGTTGGGATCTGATCGATTCAAACCCTCCCCTACTCAGACCCACAAGAGGTGGTGGTGAATGGACACCCCTACTTCACCTCCAAGGGGGCCTATCAATAGACACCCCGTGTCCGGGTGTCCTGGTAGTCACATGACATGGAAATTCGGAAAGCTGCGTTGTGAGTTGGGCGTGATTTGTTTATGACTCAAACGGTCCATTTATATATTGGTGTGCGTCACTAGACGTCCCGTTTGTGTTTGTGTCGTGTTTGTGTATGCGGGATCTGATCAGGTGGATGCCAGCAAGCTCAGTGAGGCACTTAGGGGTCGCACAGTGCAGCAGAGAACTTGTCGGGGGAGAATGCTTCGACAGAGTACCCTGAAAAACCGCAACACATCTCGGGAAGACTTGATTGGAATGGGAATCCATGCGCTGAAGCGGGTTGTGAGAAAATGTCGTGCTAATTCATGATCCCAATGATGAGAAAATGGTGAGTCCTGACAAAATGGCACAGGTTGTTAAATGAGTTGGGCCAAAGTACTGTTGATGATTTTTTTGCGCCACGACATGCTTTATCTTTCAGGTTTATCGAATCCAAACAAACATGTCCTTCAGAATGGTCTTCGGTGCTCCCGCAGAAATGGTGCCAGACACATCTGGTGGCTGCAGCGCTCTGCTGCGTGACTGGTGATCTCTTGGCGGCTGAACAGGACCTGTCCCAGAAGGAGCTCCCAAAAATCAAAAAGACCACAACATGTGACTGGTGGAAATCAGGTGGAAGGATGGGTCATGTGGGTCTTCACCAGTGTCACAGCAGCGATGCAGTTCTGCGATGTTTTGCGAGCGACCTCCCTTCCACGCACCTGGCTACTACTCACCCTCTACTCACTCAACTGAGGCTGGGAAGACTTCGAGGATTTAGCTGAGCAGCATGGCACCGGACTGGTGCTCAAGAACCTCAACTGGTCGCCTGCCGAGACGGAACCAGGGAAGATCGAGAGAGACAGGGAAGACTCCCGACTTGGAGCTGGATGGCAGGGTTTGGGAGGGTTTGGTGAACATGAGGGGACGTAGTAGCTAGACAAAGTAGTTTTCGTGGTTTGTATACGGTTGGTTTGATGATTGGGTTCACTTGATGTAGCCTGCCTCAGTGGGGCCATTGCTGGATGCAGATGTTTGACCAGCCATGCATCTATGTCTATATATCTATACCCTACAGGTCAAAGACCTCCTTCTACTGGATGTGTTCATACAAAAATACTGCTGAATGAGGTAAAGGACCATAATTTCATAGAATTTTACTTGGTCTTTTGACCTGTAGGGATTGGAATATCTTGGAATCCCGCGTATTTGCATCCTGCAGTAGTCGCCAAGTTGGTTCCTTCGTTCCTCTACCGAGCCACCGAGGCTGAACCTGGAGGAGTGGAGAAAAGACCGACTGCTGGCCCGCTTTGGACAGCGGAGAGTGGGGGGTGTGGTCCATGGAGCTGGGTTTGCTTGAGCGATTTTTTCATTTTCCCAGTGTGGCAGAACCCCTTCTGGGGAATATGGTATTTTTCCAGGTTCCTTATTAAGCCAATCCAAGTGGAGGTCGAGGGGGGTTCGGGGCTGTGCGATTTCGCGAGCTAGCGCGATTTCGGGTTCCGGGGGGAGGGCTGGAGAGCTGGGCGGAGGCAGGCTGCATGTTCAAAAGAGGGGAGAAACAGAAATGCTCTAGTGCTAACTTCGGACACTGATGCACGTGGCCCTCAGAGTGTGTGTGCCTAACGAGAACACGTTCTTCGGCTCCACCGGTCTACCCCCGCGACCGGTCGACCCGCCGGCGCTCGCCTCGCCGAAGGAGATCACCTCCTCACCACGGGCACCGGCCGCTGGGACCGCCCCGAGCCCACGCCCGAGCGGGCGCTGCGCCGCTTCGCCGCGGAGGCGGGGTGGGAGGAACGAAGTGGAGACGAAGTGACTTCGGTAATGGGTGGGGAGAGGCTTGGAGAGAGAGGTTGGAGGGTTTGGGGAGGTTGGTGGGGTCAGATGGGGATGATGTAGAATGATGTAGAGTTGTACGGGAATTGTTGAGTGGGAGGGTGTTGTTTAGGAGTCTATTTTAGGGGAGCAGCCAGAGTTTGATGTCCCCAACGTGGTTTTGGGGTACAAAGGTATCATGCGACCCAACCCAACACCCCAAGCAAAAAACATTTATAGCACTATGTGGCTGAAGTGCTCACAATTCTTTGCCTGGGATAGATTTTTGTTTGATCTCGCCAGACACTTCATGGGACTGGCATAGTTTCCCACAATTACGTAGTGGTTGAAAAGGGGTCCATGTAATTCAATGTTGGCATATATTCCTGTCCCGTGAGTCGTGTTTGGGTCTTGGTATCTATCCAATTCGGAGGTTTCATCCCGCATCAAAACCACACTGCCCGAGCCAAACGAGCCCGGCCAGAGCCCACCCCTTCTCTCGCCAGGCTGCGCAGACGCGCAAGAGCTTCGTGGCCAAAGGCCGCCGTGCAAAGCGCGGCACGCGCGAAGACTGGTGCGACTCGTAGGGAATGAGGGAATGAGTCCCCAATAGAGTCAATAGACGCAATAGAGACTCTTTGTTGTATGCAGCCACCCTCATTCCTTACTAAGCACCAGTCACAATAAGTGTTGTTATAAATTTTTTGTAGGTGTATATCAAGAGGGACCACAGGCATCCACAGGCTGTATAATGTATCTCTTGGTCGTATGATTACCGTATGCGATGGGGGCGGATGGAGACCGCACGAAAGCACAAGCTTCAAAGAGTCTACATCAGTTATATACTGGACTATCCGAGGAGAACGATTTTCCTTTATTGTTTGGTTCGTAAATGTTTTTAAATCATCTTAAATCAACCCAACCTTGTCACAGCAATGGACCAGATCTACTGTAATTGGTGCCGTTGTCTGGGGACTGTCCATCCGTTGTGTAAAACCTGTCGATGTCTGTGTCCAAAGGCAAGCTTCACAGTTGATTGGACAGCCACCTCGGTATTGCACAGTAGGTGTTTTCCACATTCTTCCACTCATGGGCCCGCCAGTGGGTGGTTTTACTATGTTTTACTTGGTTTCCGGGTGTGTTGTCTCCTCCCAATGAATCATGATGCTGATGCTGATCTATAGGCTGTGTCAACAAATCGTGGGCCCCAGAGTGTTCTTTCGTTCAATCTGTTTGTTGACATCGTTGAACTTTGGATCAGCAAGCTGGTGCATTGGTTAAGACTTGTAGAGATGCTGGTAGAATTGTCTCCTAAGTTAGACCAAGTCTCCCATCGTCGGGCTCGTTGCCAGGCTACACTCATTCCTTGGTCTCTGAAGCCTTTTGGGGCAAGGAGGCGCGGTTCGCCACTTCGCCACCAGGTTTCAGTTCACTATTTGCTCACTGTTCTGGCGGCCAGCACCGGATTTGGCTGGTGCATGCGTCGGTTCGCGTTCGCATCTCTGGATTGCTCGGTCTTGGGTCCAAGTCCTGAGACCGGACGGAACCGCATACATGTACAATAAGTTTGGACCCTTACGAGAGCTGAAGCCATTTAGCTTCTAATCAAATCCATCTGATGTGATAACATCGACATGATATCCTCAATGTTCCTCCACTTCTGGCATGACCCAGCAGATGATCGAATTCTCTTCCGGTTCGTTCCATACTGGCATCAGTTGATCAATGAACACTTCTTGGGTTGCATGTTTCCAGAAGCTGGATGCAACCAGCTGGATGCATGTGGGTGTGCCAGTCTAGTTCTGTCACATGGGTGTGGAGCTCAAATAGGTAGACTTCCCAGGCAACGACCTCCTCAAAAAAGACAGCCAATCGGTTCACTGGACTCCCAATCAAAAATAACACACTCCAGGTCCCAAAATCAGTTCCAACTTGGACAAGCGTGACGCGTTTGAGACGCTCGAGGTCTCTTTGTTCGGCCGCCAGGGCAACTGCAGCGAGGCCATCGTGGCCTCATGGCTGTGTGACCACTCGTCCTCGTCCTCGATCCTGGCACGGGTGCTCAGTTCTGCGCACGGTAGTGTGCCGAGCGACGTGCCGCCACCCTGATGTTCCGCCACCCATGGAGAGAATGGCAAGCCTTCCGCACCAAGACTCTCCATTTGTACAGTGAGGCACCATGAAAATCACCAATCACCTTGAAGGACCATGTATGTAGTTCAATCTGTGAGAAGATTCTAGTAGTCATGTTCATATCATACACGACTCATGATCGGTATATAGGCCTTAAGTGATCGGCCAAAACGGCACCTCTTCAGTCACATGGATTGTTTGTAAGAGAACAAGGTTTTTTGGTGACCCCGAAGGGTCATGCAATCCAACACCATGTTGTCCAACAATATATACGGAAGAGAACATGTTTGTGTTAAATGTTCTTCATGTATTCAATATATTCGCTGCGAAACGCCTGTTGTTCAAGAAGCACCATGAAATCATCCTCATTCTCTACCTCCTGATGGGTTTGGGCCATGCAGAGGATTTGTTGGAGCCCCAATGGCCATGGGACGGGTGCACGCACGTCCCGATGCCGTCAGCGCACGAATCCAATTTGACGTAATTTGACCTTTTAGATTGGATGGGGAAGTCTCAGCCACATCTAATTTGCATAAAGTTTATCTGTAGAATTAGTCTCCCAAACTGGAGTCGCTCAGCTTCAAAAGGACCCTTCTAGGACTTTGATACCCATGATGTTCAGCTCGAATCTCTCAGCTAAGGCGGACTTCGACAAGAGCCCCACGGTGCAGATCGGCCTGTCCTTGGCCTCAGGGACGCAACTCCATTCGCACGAGGAGAAATCTGGCGAGACTCACTGGGGCCCCTAATAGCTTCTTTCTTGTTCCTAGTAGTAAGGCCAGGAGCCCCGTTCGTACCGTCCTTGCTCTAGTAGCGATGCCAGGAGCCCCTAATAGCTTTGCCAAGGGGGTTCTGCCACAGACCTATAGCAACTTTTCAGGAGACCTGGTTGGCCTTGTTGCACGGGATGAAGGCACGGAAGAGCGCGGAAGCGTCCGTCCGTCCTGCGCAGGTCTTCCCATGTGTCTTGACGTTGAGAGGTGATTCAAGAGGTCATTCATACTGTCATTCATATTGGTTCGATGTTCGGCTGCGCAGCATAGTTTCAATAAATTTGCCGAGGGTATCCAGGGTGTTCTTGCTTTTGTGCGAACAGATGTACGATATCAATCAGTGGATCACATAATGCAGCTGCAAAGGCACAAGTTCAGACAAATAGAAGAAGTCATATAGCCCACATGTATTGCAACACCACTACTGACCCTGTGTAGGTAAGAACACGGCATACCGGTGGGTACTTTGATGGTTCATCCCTTTGACTGAAGAAGCCTGAGCAGGACAGCTTTGACAACGTTTTTTGCGCAATGATAACACTTCACTTAACTATGAACTAGCGCTTCCACACACCAGGGGGTCTCCCGTTCTTTTGTTGCATGTGTTTGTCAATGATGTCATTTGGCTGGTCCAATGTGGTTTTGGCCCACAATGCCACCAAGTACTCCAAGTACTCTATATGGATTTCAAAGATGTTGTATGTTCTATAAGCGTCTTTTTTCAGTGATTCATCCGACTTTCCAGTGAAGTGAAACGGCTCCACCAGATCAGATTCGCCGCTCCAATAAAAAGCACCACCACTGGTCCCGGTCCGTCGGGTCCGACCGATCGCACGGCGTGCGAGGCCTGGTGGATCGCACCCAGCGAGCCCTCCGAAGAGGTGCGAAGAGGCTTGGCGGCATCGCACGCGTCGAAGTCGAGGGCTTTGATCGCGCCGACCCTGCGGGGATCTGGTGGAAAGGAAGGAAGAACATGAACAGCGGTGGATGGTGAACAGCGGAGCTGGTGAAGGTCCGCCTTCGGATCTGGTGGAAAGGGAGGAGGGCTGAACATGAATCCAAGGAGGCGATATGCGAAGCTATATAGATGAAGAGCGGTGGAGACATATAGTTGGGGGCTGATTCTGAAGATGGGTCGACTTGGAGAATCGGATTGGGTTGTTTCCTTGGTGTGTTCATCATTTGGTCACGATATCTAGTCGGTGTGGGACTCAGTGGGTTGGAGACCTCTAGGGAAGGCAGAAGTGGAATTGACTAGAGCCATGGGAACCAGATTTCGATCGCGTTCCTTTTCAAGGGAAGACACAGCTCTGTTGCCTGAAGGTAAACGGTAAACCAATGAGAATAGACACATGTTCTAGACACCAAAAACTTTGGAAGAACAACATCATATGACGGAACTCCGGTAGGATTTTTGGATTTGCTCAAGACTCCTGGGCACCCCTCATCCGTCAGCTGAGGGGAAGAGCAAGCCAATACAGGGCATCCTTGCCAGTGGCTCGAGGCCAGAGACGAGCCACGGTTTTGCCGCGTTGGCAGTTCAGCGGAGCCAGCGATTCAGTGGATTCCCCAACTGTGGTTCCCAGTACTCTCAGGCAGCCACGAGTGGATCGCAGGAGATTCTAAGGGGCCTAAGGGGTGTTGGTTGGACCCCAACCGCGGGGGTGGTTAGAAGATCACAAGACACTAGCCACCAATTGGCACCCCTGAGAGAGTCTCCTGGTATCTCTAACTAACCCTGCGGCTTTATTGTTTAGGGTCGGTTCGAGGTCCAACTGTACCAAAACCAGCTTTCCGTCGGTGCGAAGTGCCTGGATTGGGGGCCTCCAACTTCACCTCCGACTCCGCGCAGGGCACGCAGGGAACCAGGCGACCAAAGGGCTTGGCCTTCTGCGTGCAGCAGCCCGGGGAGGTCATCTACTTTGGCTCCAGGCGCCCAGCACTGGGCGAGGATGCACAGACGATGGAGACGGGGCAGAAGAGGATGGGCCTACGTTTCGGAAGAGCAAACACGCAATGATCTACAATGCATTGAAATCTATCTTGCAGTAGAAATATGTATTGACAACTTGTCATGTATTGACAACTTGTCAATAGGGAACCTTTGTTTTGTCCTGTTGCGAGTGCTTGTTTCTTTGTGGAGGGTCCCCAGCTGTTGATCAACACTGCAATGTGTTTGACTGGCAGTGACGGGAACATTTGTTCTGAGCCTGCTTTCTGTTGAAATCTACTGAAATTGCTAAATCTTGCAGTCAAGTTCCCAAACGGCCACATGAGCTTACCGAGCTTACGGCCTACCACCTGGCAGAACATTCATTGCACTGCTTATGCAGAAATCCAGCATTTATTCTTTTTTAGCCATCTGACCCTGAACGTGGCTGCTGTCTCATCCATATACACATCTCCCAACAAGACTCCACCCCGTGGCCGCCCTGAGCCCGCCCCGGCGAGGCTCCACGCCACCTGCAACTTGGCCGACTTCGTGCTGGGCATTGGAGCGCAGGGCCGGCAGCCAGCAGACTGGACGCCGCTGGAGCTGGGGAGGATGGGCGGAGCAGTTGGTTGGGGTGGGTGGTACTTGTAAGAATAAGGTATGGCTGGGTGGGGTGCGGAGTTGGAAATGGACACATCCGGACACTTGGGCCCCTTGTGTCCCCCCCAAAATGTGCTAACGGCATACAACGATTGGTAGGTTGAGAATGGGAGGATCCAAGTCAATGGGGTCCTGATATTGCCCACCATTCTCCCATGGCCCAATGCTGGAGTTGTCCGCTCATTTTTTGGACGTGGTGGTCAGTGACCACCCTTTTTTGGTGGTCTTGACATGGGAACTGTATACACTATTCTACAATTGGAAGTCTTGAGCATGCCGGCTTCCAGGGAAGTTCCGGCTTCAGGTTCACAGACCTGTGTAGGAAGCTGCAGGCACCTGCACCTCTGGAAACCCAGTCCCAACCAGAAACTAAAGGGGTCGTTCCAATATGGAAGTTCTCGGATGCTCCCGGTGCTCTGTCATGAGAGCACCAACGAGCTCGTTTTCACAAACGAGTTCAGCTCACGCTTAAGCTTAGTGGATGATACAAGTTCCATTGACTTCCGGACTTCCTACCATAGATTCGATGCTCTCCCATCGAGCAAAGACACCTGGACCAAAGGAGAAAGAACGACATCTTGCTGAGCGGTGCAAATGACAAATGACCAAGAACTCCTGGAGCGATACTCCTGGAGCAGAAACCAAAATGCTCCTGGACAAAAACATGAAAATAACTCCTGTAACACGACATTGGTCATGACAAAGGAGTCAATGACGAATGCTCCCCTCCCCTTCTTTTGACATATATATTTAATATATACTTGAACTTGTTCGATGTGTCGATGTGTCGCCAGGAGCGCGCGATGCACCGGGGACAAAGTGCCCGGGTGAAAGATCTCTTGAAGGACGGGCGGCTGCGCTGCGAGTTGTGAAGAGGTGACCTGCTGGAGATTCACCATGGAAACACTTATAGACTTATAGTGTAAATCAATCCCAATCCCAAAAAAATATGCACTTCAACCACTGCTGTGGAGGGACCAGTGGATCCCATCCACAAATGTCGGGCGATTGGAGAAACGGCCAAAATCAAGGAGAAGAAGAAACGGCTGAAGCCTGCCCAGTTGGACCGCTGGTTGGCGCATGCCTCGGAGCCACTCGGAGAAATCAGCCAGCGAGAGTCACTGGGAGTTGTTTCCGGGAACTTTCGTTGCCACCCTCAGTCAGCAATCTAACTCGTTGAGGCCTCTTGAGGAGCCGCTGCTTTTTGGCAGGACTCCATTTGCGAAGCAGCTTGTGGCAAAACGTCTTGTTCTTGAACTATGGCAAACGGCCAGGTGTTGTTTCTTTGTTTGGATCCTCTCTAGGCTGTACGTGATATGTGGTTCGTTGATCGATGTTCTTTGAGCAAAACACCTATGCGAGCGGCGAGTGGTTTCAGTCGCCAGTTCCAAAAGGCATCCGGCAGGCCGCGCTCAAGACTCCCTTGGGAGCGATTCACCAATCACATAGAGCTGGATAATGATGTTTGATGTTCAATGTTCCTTGCCATTTATTTCTTTTTGGTCTCCAGGTTCCGCGTTGAGCTTAGCAGATCCGGCCATGTTCAGCCAGGTGTGTGGAAGACGCTAAAAACATGTGGGTTTGTCTCAATGATTCACAATGATCCAGAGATTCACCTGGAATTGAACACATGGGAACTGAACATTGTTCAAGACTGGTGCTGAACCCCAAGTCACCAGCATTTTAACGCCCAGCCCAGATCTGTTTTTCTTTCCTCCCCACCTCTTCCCACAGTCCTCGTTTCAAAAAAGAAAATAACGTCCTGGCTGAAAGCTCGTTTCGCTGCCCATCCCTCCTACACTCCGACGCTTCGCGTCCATTGAGTGGAGTGGAGCGAGTAAGTCATAGTAAATCCTCCCTCCAACATCCTGATAGTTACGTGGATGAAAAAATGGCGGGTGGTTCCCCTGGTTTTAGACTATAAACATTTGACATCCCAAACTTAGGGGATGATGATCGTCCACAAGACTATGGGCATCTATGGGCAGTAGAAGGCGGGAGGTTCAATTGATGAGGTTTAGACCATGAAAATCCACAAAATCCAACCTAGGGGATGAAGTCCACAAGACTGATTATGGGTAGTTGGGAGGTTCAATTGATGAATTGATGAGGTATGGCTTCACCTCTTTGGTGGAACTCCTCTTGGATCAGTACCTCGCCCACAGGACGACAGGACTCCCGTCCGTTGGCGCGGTGCGTCCGTTGGGTCGGTGGGACCAAGGGGTTTTGGCCACCGGAGAGCACAGAGCTCCCGGGCTTTGGTCGGAGAGATGGCATGAAAGGCGAAAGAAAAAGGTGGGCAGGTGAGGGGTCACACAACTCAGGCCTGACTGCACAATCTAATTGAGGACACCTCGCAAAAGTCGTTTCATGCCCGACATTCGCTGAAACACCCACTCGTTACTCTTTGGGGCAGCAAACCGCATGTGTTCGACAGACACCTGCCTCTGCCCAGGCGTGCGGATCTCGGCGGCGCGAAGCGCGCCGTGCCGCGCTTCACGCCATTGCACCGGGCGGCGGAGAATGGGCATTTGGCAGTGGCGTGACTGAGCAGCAGATGGATATGTTGGGACCCCTTGGGCAGTGAATTACTTTGCGGAGAAGTGGTAGAGGTAGTGGTAGAGGTGGATCATTTGGTTCATGGAAGCCGGAAGATCGGACAAAGATGGAGGTGGAAGGCATGGTTTCAGGAATGGTTTCAGGGGGCTTTCCACGCAGGTGTCATTCTCGGGTGATGACTTTTCAACGCTGCTGTAAACTGTAAACCACCGGTGCTGGTGAAACTGTGCACAGGTAATTTCAACTGTTGCTCGTCCTATCTTTGCAGCCTTTTGGCTAGACTAGACTTGGTGAGTGTTGGGCCATCGTGCCTACCGTTTGTCAAACAAACATAGATGTTATACCACAAGGTATACATATATAGATATACCACAAGTGGTTGGGGGCGACTTTCCTTGACCACCTCACAGTCCTCTAGTTTCCAACTGCATATGTTTAAGGGTATTAGTAGATCTTCGAAAGTCTTCTACATGTCCGTTCTCAGAAGTGTTCGCACAGTGTCCACTTGCCACGTTCACCAATCCAATGACCAGCTCCAGTCCTGGAATCCACCGGTCACAGAATTACTTAGAGCAAATCAGGGTTTTGCTAGGAAAGTGACCTGTTTTGACATTGCTGTGGGTCAAACTGCTATGGCCGCCCCAGTTCGGGGGTCTATACAACAGGCTGTCGACCTACATCCAAGGGCGAAAAGCAAGCGCCAGTTGTGTCTCGCTGTGACCGACTGTTGCAGTTGCTCCCCCAAACGCCTGGTCAGACAAGGCAGCTGCTCTTGTCCCGGCGAGCAGATGTGCATGCGCAGCTTGGGCAAAAGGTGGATGGTGGAGAGATGACCCGAGAGATCTCGCGCGAGGCAACGATCAGTTTCTGAGACCATTGGTGTCGATGTCACTTTTGCTATGGCCTGCTTTCGAATATATATGTTGGTTCTCCACTTGCGTCGCAAATCCGGCCCCACGAACTAACGGAACAAATCATCATAAATGACATGAGAATGCCACTATGTTCAAGTCCTTAAGAGAGCAATGAATTTCAGGAAAGCTTTTGTAGTAACTAGTTGCTTCAGAATAGCACTGTTCCCTCATCTTTGTTGCCATTTTGTGGGATATGGTTGTGCGCGGTTCAGTTGCACTCTCACTGCATAGAACATAGTTTAGTGCTTGGTGAAAAAGTTGCGGGACATTTACGCCAAACCTGCCAAAAGGAGCTGGAAGTAATTCCGCATCAAGCAACCATCAACGGACGGGAACCAGCCAGAAGGCGAGAAGCAAACAACCAGCTTGGAAGTTAACAACCCCAGGACATGAGCAACCCTTCAGTCTCCCTACTTGTAGCATGCAAGACGGAAGTCACCAACAGTATAGCCAAACAAGAGCCATTTGATGGAGAGTGAGCTACGAGGATGCCAAAGGCATTTGTTTTTTTCATGCTGCATGTCAATCGACTGCGGCGTCCATACCTGTCCCTTGACTCTGGAGCGTGGCAGGAAGAACCATGAAGGATACAAATCCCAAAGGCGACCTTGGCAAACCCCTAGAGAAACCTCGATGGGAAGCATCACGCAGGACTTGAAGCAAGAGTTCTGAAGGGGGGATAGGGTGGTTTGGTAGTTCTGCTGCGCATGATGAAAGAGAGTTGTGATGAGTGGCTTTCTGCTGGGCCGCCGTCTTGGGGTGGTGGGTAGTGGCACCGGAGGCACAAAGAAGGTATGTATGGGGCTGGATTGGTCGCAGGATGGAATTCGCTATTCCGGGACAAGAAACATGGAACTCCCCAGATGGGGAATACATAGGAATACCAACTGTTGCTTCACCCGGCTTTTAAGGAACAAGGGATTCCCAACTTGTGCGACTCGAGAATAGTCCCTAGCAGTTCGAGCAGAGTTACACTGATTTACCACCTGGACAATTTTGAACTCGCCCAGCTCTTGCCATTGCAGCTTCTCATTTACATCGAGTCTAACAAAAGTTGCCTTCTGAGACCATGGTGTGCTTTGCGGCCATGGCATTCTGCCTTCCGTTTATCATCCTTCTGACTGTACTGTTTGCAGCGGCTGTGGCATGGAAGGCATGGAATCCCCTTGGCTTGCCAAGTTTGCCGAAGAAAATTGCACCTTTTGACACTTCCTGGTTCATCCTGTACCGTTGGGATCTCGATCTTTGTGTGGAGTTTTCCAAGCAGATCACACTGACATCTTGCATATGGCCAGATTTGTGGCGCTTTGTCAATGGAAGTCTGGAACATCAACACACTGGTCTTTGTCTCACATACATTCCAAAAGACTGGTGTGACAAGATTTCTTCAAATAGCGATTTGCAGGAATGTGTTGTGTTGAAAATGACTGACTGCCCTTCTGACCATCATAGCCGGCGTTACCCTGACTGGTCACAAAGGTGGCATGCAGACCAGGGTCGCATCTACTTACAAGCATTGCTGAGTGAGACAGGTGTCAATGTGGCATCCAGCGTTCACAAACAGCAGCGGCCATACATGTGGATTGCCGGCAACTAGGATTGTTATGGATTGTTTTACTATAGTAGCAATATATATATATATATGTTGTAGGTTCTGTTCAGTGTCAGTGTCAGAACATGGGAAACATGCATGTCCGTTCTTCCTTCAAGCCTAGATCCCAGGCGAGGGCGAAGCAGCCCTGCCGGTCTTGGAGAAACCGCCATATCCGACATGGAATTTGATGCTCGCGCTACTCGGAAGTCATCCGTTTGGAGACTACCGACTCTTTGAACAACAAGACTGCAGTGCTGGAGATGGCTTTTGCTTTAGCAATGGTCAGTTTCACAGTGGCAACTGCTCCTGCGCCTGTGACGCCCCTTTCGTCGGACGCATGTGCTCCGTCATTGATGAGGATGCAGCAAAAGAAATGAGCTGCGCAAGAAGGAAGGCGTTGGGCCCTGCGAGAGAGTGCAGTAACCTGGCCCTTGGGGAGAAAGTTCAGGATGCTCTTAACACATTTGGAATGTTCATGTCCGTGGTTTGTTCGTCCATGTTGCAGTCGGTGTGGGCCCTTTTAGTTCTCCTGGCTGCGGCTGGGGCGACCTTGATGACTGGATATGAGCTAGATAAATATTTGTTCATGGAGGTGGATGTATCAATATCATTTGGAATTTCTTGTGCCATTTGCAGTGTGTGCTTCGTGCTGCTCCTGGGCTGGAATTTGCTCGATGTTTTCTTCCATTGGACACTTTTTCCATACTATGCGATCTTCAGAGCGGGTCGTTGGCCCTATGCAGATCGAGCCATCCTTTTCTGTGCTGGAGACATGGAGTTTGGTTCTTACGCGTTTTTTGTGCAGGCAGGCAGAGCTCCAAAGCATTGAACATCCAAATCCGACTGCGGATTGCTTAGTCGGTAAAACAGTTTTGTTTGGATATGTGCTGTTAGTTAAAGATCCTCCTTTGTACTGCCCAAATTAATCCTGGGGGTGCACTACGCTTTTTGACATGTCGAAATTGACAAAAAAAGTCGTTTTCAGGGCATATAGTCACAGGCCACCCAGGAGATAAATCCTGACTTGGCCTCTAAGTTGGAGGGGTGGGGCTAGGATTTATTTATATTGAAAACAAGTTGTTTCTGAGGGGGGGTTAGGGGACAGGAAAAAATGTCACTCTTAAAAAGGTTGTTTCTCCATGTTCCTGGAGGTAGGGGGGCAGGAAAAAATCCTGAGTGAATACATGACCCAAAATGTTATTGTTGTTTTTGAAGTGATCATCATCACCCTTTTTCTTCCCTCAAATAGTTATCTAATATGGTAGATGTTTGAGAAGACTGCGAACATTTTGGGACTAAGGACTGACTAAGAAGAACAAGAAGGAGAGAGGGAAACGAAGAAGGGGGATTGAGGACAAAAATGCCACACCATTCCAACCCACACCCAGACTCATCCCCAACCAAAAATCTGAAAATCCAAGGTGAAACTATTTTTGTCCATTAGGGCTGACCAAGTCCAATGACATTCACTCTGTGCAAGGATGACACCTCTGGACAAAAATCCACACCATTCCAAATGCAACCACCCCAAACCCAGATTTAGATCCAAAGACTCGACTCACATCACAATTGGTGAAAAACTGATGTGACAGAAATTGTGTCCTTTGGGGCAGACCATTTTCAATGAAATATACTGAAATATGTTTGTTCCAGGGCGACTCGTCTGGACAAAAATCTCCACTATGCCATACACAACGCCCGACTCACACCACAAGGTCAGAAAATCTAAGGTGAAACTAGTTTGAAGATCAATTTTCTAGGGGTGACCAAGTCCAATGACATGAACTTTGTGCAAGGATGACCTATGAGTAGGTTTTCGTGCCACAGTTGCTTCACGCAGTGTTCTGCATCAGTTCCTCCGTCTCTTCTTGTCACTGCATGTGGAATTTGTTTTTGAGGGGAGGGTGGGGGTTAGGGGACAGTAAAAAAAGGTCACTCTTAAAAAAATTGTTTTTGAGGGGGGGAGGTAGGGGGTTAGATTTACTTTAAAGGTCATTGCACGCTGTCCTGCATTTGCTTGGCGTGATGTTGAGGGGTTAGCCACATTGTATAAAAGTTCCCACTCAGAAATTATTTCCAGTGTGAGGGCCCCCCCCTTGCAGTCCACCGGGGGCTTATTAAAGGAACTTGTTCCCTGCCAGCTGCCAGCTTGATCACTTGTTTCAGGTGGCCAAGACTACCTATTCTTTGAAAGGGCTGTTCACGGCCTTGGTGGAGCCTCCTGACCTTCAGGAACCAGTTTCTACATGGATACCTATGATCACCACAGCGGATGCCATCCTTCTAGCTGAACTGCCAAACCTCTATACATTGATGGGATTGGCAAGGTCGCAGCTCGACGGGCCAGCAACCAGTGTCATGACTCCCTTCACAGGTTTCCTTGTGTGTGTTGGATTGATTCTGCTGGAACTTGCTGAGGTCCGGGCATTGTTCAAAACTCGACGTGACAGCCGGCGCTTTGCCAACATGGAATTCATGTTTGCATTTGTACAAGACCTTCCTGAGTTTCTGTTCTCTTCATTTGTGAGTGTCCTTGGTGTCTGGAACCAATACGTTCTGTATGCTCTCGTGAGCTCAACAATAGCTCTTCTAACCACCCTCGCTCGCTTGCGTCACTACGGTGTCTCCGCATCGCCTGCCACGGCTGAAGAATTCTGCAGCCTGCTCAGCGAGATCCAGCCGTCCAACAATTTGTGCGACTGCGAGGGAGGAAATGAGGCCTTGGATGAGTGCCCAAAAGATGAACCCGCAGAGGCTGCAGGTGACGTGCCTGAGAGGAGCCATGTTTTGAAGTGTACATCGCGCGAAATCTCGCGCGAGGTATCCCCAGCATATGGTCCTCTATAGTAGTAACCTCTCTATATATTGTTGTTTAGTTTTATTACCATTCAGCACTCACTGCGCAGAGAAGGATTCTGTGCCCTGAACAAGAAAGAGTTGCTGGACATTTGTACGACATCCCTCCGAAGGAGCTGGATCTAATTCGAGTCAATTGAGGACCCCGTCGGCGAAAAATACGTCGTCCCTGCAGTATCAGGCATGAATAGACATGAATAGACAATAGTGCAATAGTTCTCTTGAAGCAGCAATACTAGCAAACTGCTAAACACCTCAATGAGGAACTGTTGAGTCTCCTGAGCATGGACAATGGCTGTTGACCTTGCAGACTAGTTGGTGTCTAAGGCACTTGCTCTACCAGGCAGTTTTCTCGGATGTCGATAGGAAGCCAGGCGGAAGCCAGATGGAGTACAGGAAACCGAGCTTTTGGGAGCCCCTGCACTGAGAGGTTGTTTCAACATTCGACCACCGTGGTCACCAAGGAAAGACCAAGAAGCCAAAGAGCCGTTGCACCACGCGGCCTACAACGACGCCGGCGAAGTCGCCCAGCTCTTGCTCCTAGGATCGACGCGAAGTCGATCGCTCTGCCGGGCCGAAGTCGTTGGGGGTTCGATCATCCTCACGTCGATCCGCTGGGCAATGAAGGAATCAGTAAGCTAAGTAGGTGGACGAGACAGGTGGTGAAAGGATTTCGATGGACCTAGACAGGAATGTGGTGGATCCCTGATCGACAAATTTGTATATATAACTAATTATAACTATATATAACTAATTATAACTATACTATAACTATTATATATATAAACTATATAGATATATCATGATATATCTGGTTTGACAGAGACCCTACTGTAGATCTCATGACCTGCAATCAGTGAGTTTTCTCAAGTTCCAGCAATAACGATCAGAAGAGTTTTGCGCTGACCACCTGGGCATTGAGTTGTTGGTCCCCTAAGCATTCAAAAGATGGATGGGTCCCTATATTCAGGTCGAGAACTGACAGGAGTTTCTCATAGTTTCTCCTTTAGATTGTCCAAGCCATGTTTGGGAGGTGTTTCACCTGATCTTCACAACTCCACTTGGCCTGCCATGTTCATATCCTGCTTGACCATGGCGCCCCCGCAGCCACCGCACCACTCAGGTTGGAGCATGGTGCCTCCCTGCGCTCCCAGGACCAGCGGTCCTTAGCACCCTTCGCCAGTGCGGCAGACGGGGGCTATCCGGACTTGACGCATGGCTACATCCTCTCTGGGAGTGGCTGACCTCGTTGGATGGTGACCTCATGGGGACTGTGAGGGTGGCTACATCCTCTCTGGATGTTCATGGATGTTTATGGGATCATGCCGGTTCTTCGGATGTACCACTGGGCTGCGATGGACCATGGGATGGGCTGGGAGTATATAACTTGATGAGTAACTTGAGTTGGCGAAAAGAATAGCACCGAATAGGAGATATCTCAACCGTTTCTCAACCCACATTCTATATATATATATATATGGGTTATTGGATGTTATTTGCCTATCACCATCTCAACCAGCCTCTTTCAGCGAAACAAGGGCAAAGACTCCAGCAGAACGCAGTTCTCATCCATACATAGTAATGGAGCATCTAGGTTCTTTGGAGTCAATCCTCTCCCCAGTCACCTAGCACCTCTACACAAAAATAGATCGGATTGAAGCCAACAAATTGATGCTGTTCTTCCAACCGCCTAAACATAATCAGGATATAATCAGGTATCCCTACTATAGGTTCTATCGACCAGATGTTTGTCGCAACTCGCCTGGAATTCCTTAGCTGCTGGCGCCATCCAAGTGGTGTTTTCGGACCTCAGCACTGCATGGGGCGGAAGATCTGAGGATGGACATGCTGCTGAAACGCCACGCGCCAACGTCCGCGCGAGGCCCGCCAGATGTGACGTGTTGAGACTTGCAGCCTTCTTGCAGCTGATTGCAGCTGTGTAGTAGGTCATACCTCTATAGGGAATTGGAAAAGAGCCCAAGTCTCAAAAGTGTCAAAAAAATCAACAAAAGTAGGCATTCCTTGCCCTGTTGGCGACATGTCAAAGAGGTTGTTTTGCAATGAAACATGGCCGAAACCCCGGTTGTTAATCGAATTTTGTTGCAACCCCGTGACGCGGACGTGATAGCTGCCCACCAGGTTGAAATGCAGGTTGAAGCTCGTGTTCGTTTGGTCTGGATGTCCTGGGTGCATGCAGGTCTTTACGGGTTCTTGGTCGAAAAAGGCTACAAGAATGGACATTGGTTGGTGTTGATTGGTGCCATCGAGCCTCCACTTCCCACTTCCGCCTCCTGATGGTGATGGATGATATGATGTGATTTGGATGACAATGGACAGATGGAGACAACTGACACACCTCGGACAGTTCATGCCATGTTCCCCATCACTTCCAACGTCTGACGGGATATAACTTACTGTGCAAAGGGAAGATTGTAATGTGGAGCTTGCTGGATCATCTCTTCAACTCTGACAGGTTCTTCAAGGTCCAAGAATCCCCAATAGAAACGGGTTGAAGTGAACATTGGCCCAGTAGAAATCCCCAGAGCCAAAGGAGATGCCAAATCCCAGCAGCTTCCAGGTGTTGACAGAAGCCGAAACGACCCAGGCAGCCCCAAGATTCAGCTATAGCCTACGCTCCACGGATAGGCGAGTTCTACCTCTGGCCCCAGGTCTTGGAAATACGGGAAATAGGTCGTTCAACCAAGTGAAAAACCTGTAGCCCCAACATCCACCATCTAGCGAACGACCGACGCCAAGTAGGTTTGTATCCTTTTTCAGTCTCCTGGGGTCAACGACCCACAACCACATCTTTGCCATGAAGGCAGTCCCATGAGTGTGTCCAATTACCTGCAACGTAAAGATTCTCACGATGTTTGAGATGTCAGGTCTGCACCCGAATTTTATCATCCACGTTGCGTGTCCAAGGAATGGGATTTGCATTCTGCTCTACGAAAGCCTTTAAAACATGTTAAAACATATAACTGGTACCTGGGGTACCTGGGTACCTCTTGATTGCACCACAAGCTTTACACTGAGTGAATTCTTGCAAATCCCGTGAACGCCACTCCCCGCCTGCTGCGCTGCCTCCGAAGGCTACGACCCGGCTGCGCTGCACGCGGCCTCCAAGGGACACCTGCCGGTGCTGCGGCGCCTGCTGACGCATCGCGCCGATCTGGCGCACGTGGACCCGCAGGGGCGGCGCTTGGTCGCTTGGCGGATGTTTGGGGCATTCAAAAAGAGTTGAGAGGTGGTCAGTGTGGACTTGAACGAATGGCGATGATTGGCGATGTAGCTTTACTGAGGTAAACAAAATGCACAGAAACTCGAGAAAAACAACTTTGAAAGGCTGGGGATGGTTTTTACATGTTTTTACTGTTCTTGTGGATCCATCCGGTACCATTGGGTTCACATTTGGAACGCCCCATGCCTGGGTCGGTGGCAAAAAGCAGCAGTGCAGCATCACGATGGATCACGACAGATGACGCACGCATGGTTTACGCAGTGTTGCCGTAGGAGCCAGGAAGGATAGTGGCCTTTTCGCCAGTCATGTTGTAGCAAAAGATGCCAGACAGATCTAAGGGAAGCAGATGGAGGTATTTGATGGTATTTGTCTCATTGCGATTGGAGTTGACCCACTTCAACAGAGGCGTTTTGTAGGCCGCAAGGGGATCCATACTGCAATATTTCATTTGTTGAGTCATAGTGAGAGGGATCAGCTCCAAAACATTGACCCCAAGCAGAGTGACATAGGTTTCTTCCACTTTCCAACCCCCCTCTAGCACCCGCCAACCTTCCCCACCGTTTCGTGCTTCGCTCACCTCGCGGGCGAGTCGTTCTCCGCAAAAAAATACGAGGCGGATCACGCCGAGTTCTACCAGCACCACTCGGTCGCGCGCTTCCTCCGCAGCCTCCACCAGGCTCCTTGGATCCTCCGGTGATGCGATTTGTTCTCTGGCAGTGGGGAGAATCCTGTGAGAGTTGGTGGTGATGGAAGGCAAGACTTCATGTTCAGGCCAAGCTACTCTATCATAATGTATCTAACTTATCTACACTCCTTGAAATAGTCATGGCTATGTGGAGTGAAAACCACCTGTTTGTGGAAATGGTAATCCTTGTGGGGCCCATGTCATCCACGTTGGCCCATGATGAAGCTTCAGGGACGTGTAGAGTCTAGAGTGGACTGCAAGATTTCGGGACCAGCAAGCAGTTTGTGGGAAGAATGAAGAAGAGAATGACGAACCAGAAAGGAGATTGCGGGAGAAGAACACCACAAGGATTGCACCCACCAGAAAAGATTTTGCAGTGACTGGGAAGAAAGAAAGGGATGGTACGCGACTGGCTACTTGTAGGGCAGGATGTGATCATTGCCATTGAAGATCCAGTGGATCTTCATTTTTCCTCAGCTAATTGCGAGGTTCCAGATTTGGCCATTGACAGAACAGCAGTTAGTTTGATTGACCTGCAATGAGGATTCCTATTCAAGATTTGCAGGGGAGCCTGATTCACCATCCTCTTCGAAAGGTAGACTGAGTCTGATTCGATCAGTTTTAGTCGACGAAGGGATTTCGACATGGCTTGATGGACCTGGGCCAAACCTGTTGGATGGTTGTTTTGGAATCTGAACGTTCATGAAACTAGTGGCAAACTGGGCCAAATTCCAAAGTGTCGTCACCGACAAAGAGTCAAATGAATTTTTACCCCAAACGACTCCGTCGTAGTCGCAGAACCGTCGCTCAGAATTTGAGGGTCCGTCGCTGGCCAGGTGGAAGAGTTATGAGCTGCGCGCGTAGCTTCAAAAGAGCCGAGCAGTTCATGGCAGAGGGCCTCGGGCAGTTCTGCATCGGGGGATGAAGGGATGAAAGGCTCTCTAAGGAAGAGGCTGAGTTCGTGATGTAGCCCGCGTGCAATTCCCTCTGAAATAAGAACACTATCACTTGCACCAAAGTGATGGGCCAAGTTCGGTTTTAAACCTTCACTGCTTAGCCTTATTTGGATGTGCTACGATGTGTTCCACAGGCTTGCTTGGGCTGAGTGGAGGACTAGAAGCCAGACATCAGCAGAGACATGGCGACTTATCGGTGACCTCTGAGCACTGGTGAGCTTCTTGATACTCTCCTTGGAGTTCACCAGCTGTTGGAAGTGGAGTTCACCTTTGGAAGTGAACTTCACCTTCATGATTCAATGAGTTCACCAGAACTAAAGCACTCGTTGGAAGAATCATGGTAAGTGGGCTTCACCAGCTGTTTGGGGCCGCTGAACATGATCATTCTTTCGGAGCCTTTCCTTTCCCATCCACGTGACCATGTCTTTGCGATGATGATCCTGACTCGATCCAAGCTTTGACTACTACATAGTATGCCAGAAACTGAAAACCTAGGAGGATATTAGGAAGATAGGGATAGGGATGAAAAGAGGTCCGGGTGCTGAACCAGAGACTTAAAACCGTAGAGAGGGAAAGGCAGGGGTGGAACCTTCTGTATGTACATCCGCAGGAGTCTGCAGGACTAGGTACCAGAACCAGGGGCCCTTGTATTTCCACGTCTTGACCTTCACTGCAACCTACTGCCTTGAATGGAAAGCTGCCAGAGAGTGATAATATGAATAGCCCGCTATATACATCGCTATGCCTCTCCCAGCAGAAAAGATTGGTTTGTGATGTTAAACAACACAATCCTCCTCTAAGACTCAAGACAATATCAGTTTTCTAGGGGACTTCACAACGAACATGCCATGGGCAGTCACCCAGTTGCTGTAACCACATGGCGCCACACCTACCGGTTCCCTGCTGCACGTGCCGTTTGCGCCGCCTTCCGGGCATTCCAAAACGCACCATTTTCGGCAGGCCATCAACAAGTCCTTGTTCACCCTGGGTCAGGTCGAAGCACTTGGGGATGTGGGATTTTCAGCCGGCTGAGATGCCGTAGATAGGCATGCGGCATGCCCAGTCGCCTTCCAAGAGACCATGAGTTCGGTTTCACCCGGTCTTGTAGTCTAAAATCCTGAAACCGGTTGTTCGGTGAGGAACTAACACCTAAACCAATTGGTGGTTAGAAGCCTAGATCCGTAATTAGCGCCCAGGTGTAGAGTTCTGAAAAGCACTGGAGCAGTGGCTTTGGAGATTTTGGCAGTTCTTTGGAGCTCAATATGCTTGGAGAATCTAAGATAGATGAAGCACCGCTGATGTCTGTGGGTACGGCGTTGATGTGTCTAAACCGTCCACCCACCCACCTTTTTACGACTGGAATGGGTTGTGTTGGACTCCCCCTACCATTCCCAACTTCGTTCCTATCATCACCAGATTGAACAGATCTAACAGATCTTGCCCTTCGATCGTGATCCATCAAAGAATCTTCTAGCTGATTCCTCATATTTCCTCATGAACGGTTGTCGAAACAAGCACGCATCCTTTTGTCATGAGGGGAGGTCATGTTTTGGAGTTTCTACCAGTTTAAATCCTTCTTGGAGAGTGTAGGGGTGGGGAAAATTGCCGGAAAAAGCTACTGGACTATACTCTGCAGAAATCCAAACTAACAGACAGGTGCCCAGAAACCATTGCGAATTCCTGAAACTAATCTAAGATGCATTTTAAAGGCTTTGTCGCTTACCATATTTGACTACTTAGGATTCCTGGATGAGACCCATTACATATGGGATGAGAATGGATGTGGAGATGTACCCAAGGCCACACTTTGTTGGTTCTTGAGTCCAGTGACCGATGACCAGAAGCTCGAGGCCACACTTTTAGTTTCTTTTGGGTGACTCAGCTGCTGCTTGGTCTCAGTACAGGAAGTGTGTTTTTGACCATCCCTGCAGATCCCCATGGGTCACTCAAACGGTACCTGCAACACCAAACGAGTTATATTTGTTACTTACATTGAAAATAAGCACTTATTCAGCAAATCCTCACCAATAATCGTACGAATCGTGTTTTATCGTGGCGCCACGAGTATTTTCGTCCATGGTGGTGTTTGCATGCATGTCTTGATGAATTCGGAAAGTGGCCCTTGATACATGTAATTTGTGGTTCTTTTGTGCTCTCTTTGCACAATGGAAATGTCAACCTTCCAATGAAGATGCAATGCATCGTTCATATTTCTTCAAATTGGAGGTTTTGACGTCCACATGTAAACACCATATGAAATACATATACCTCCTTGGTTTGTCCATCCCCGTCCGCTCCCATTATCTTCTTCCCCTTCGCTCCACGCATGCAACCCTCAACGCTCACTCAAGCAAACGTTCAACTGCACTCTGTAGCGCAGGAGGGTTCGATGAGCCTGAACTTTTGGTGAAACAGATCGAGACAAAAAGCAGATTCTGCCCACCATGTCTTCTTCAACGCTGCAGCTGTCTGAAAGTGGATTCCAGACGAAGGCCGACTTGGTAGTCTGAAAATCCAACTCTTGAAAAATATGTTGGACCATGTGCAACTTTGGAAATAATGGAAAGCTTGGCTTTCCATTGGCCAGGGATGTGTGAGCTAGAAAAACGTAGCAGCGCACCCAGTGCAGTCCAAGTTTAGCCAAAGCACTCGCCCGTGATGAAGGGATCCAAACTCCTTCTCTGTGAAGCTGCTCCATGACCTTGTTCATAGCAGCAGTTCCAGATGCCTCATACACCAACTGTTTTTGGCGATCACGGTAAACACGAAAACAAACAAGGACACGACCTTAAAATTGGCGTTGCTAAATCCAATTAAGCAAAAAGGTACAGCGCTCCAAAAACACTTGTGTGAAGCGTCAAGGAGCTACGAAACGAAGAGTTGGGTCTCTCTCACAAGTTTGTCGGTGCTCCTCCAAGAAGTGCTGCAACCACTGCATCAAAGTCGCGGTCACATGCGCTTTGTTCCAGCCAGCGCTGGGCTCCTTTCCCTTGAGGCCGAAGGTCCATGGATCCAGCCGTCGCAAATATTTTGTTTTCCCAAAAGCAGTACAATAGGTATCCCAGTGTTCATTGAGCACAGACAGGCGTTTGTCTACGGAGCTCTCTCGCACAAGGTGTTGTGCCAGTCCGACACATGAAGCCACCCAACTCTTGCCAACGCCAAGGTGGAAGGCGTGCCAAATGTCAATTCGATGAAACCGCTCAAGGCCGCCAGGCGACTCTTCATGCCACAACTGTGCCCACGCAGGCTCCTCATCCCATGGACTTGGGATCGCAGAGCATCTCGCTTCTTTGATGAGCCTCTCTGCAACATTCCTTGCATGACCCAGGATTGGGCATCAATGAACCCTTGCCCTGGATTGGAAATCTGATTTTTCAATATCACTGGGTCACTGGGCAACCGTATACTGAAAACATCTGAAAACCATGCAAGGCTCAAATCTTCCCAAGAACCTTCTCTGGTTCCACACATGCACAAATGGCAAATTCCTGGGGGATTGTCTTTGTGAGTCTTGGCTTCACGAGCACCTTTTGGAGCGCGGCGGTACGATCTGCACAGATTTGCTGATGTTACCTCACTTGACATTGTTGGCTACGCCTATTGGCTTCAGTTTCCCTCCAAAAAATAGAAGCCCCGCAAACCAAATCAACTTGCCCTACCAAGACAGCTGAGGAACTAGGTAGCTCCAATCGCCTTTGTTTCCCAAGATGCATGGAAACACCAGACCTTGCCCTGGCAGTTCAACCCCGTTCTCCTCCGCAGATCTCCAACCCGCCACCACCAGCTGGATAATTTCTTTGAACACGTCCTCATCATACTGGTAGAGTTCCTGGATCGGCTGAAGTGCAATCATCGACGAACAACTTCCAATCGAAGACTGTTGCCTTTATACTGCAAATACAGTAATCCCAGTATAGCTAAAACTCAACCATACTGGAACCACCCAGTCCTTCGGGCAGGCAAACGTCAGGAAACGAGTCTTGAATGAATTCTTCACCAAATTGATGGGAATGCCGCATGAAGCCAACTCCTTGTGCCATTCTGTATCGCTTTTGGTTTTAGAGCTGCCAGCGCCAATCACCCCACAGAATTGGATAATCAAAAAGCCGTTCTTCTTGTATGTTGTGCCCTCATCCCCATGGACCAGTAGTGGCAGGAATTGATAGGGTTGGAGTCGACCTTCAGATTGTCGAATCTTTGTGAAAACAGTGTGGGTCGGGCAGATGCGCTCGTACCTGGACCAAAATTTAGTGAGCACTGTCCTGGCCAGTTCCATATTTGGAATCCCTCCAAGAAGACAATGGAAATCGCCCAGCTGTGCCATCGTTTTCAACATATCTGTAGGGCGTATCCACGGAAAATGGAGATGTTCACCCAGATGGTCAAAATGAAGAGGAACAGGGTAGGTCATCCCAAACGTCTCAAATACCCTGGAGACGCCCTCTTCCTAAGCATTTGGATGGTTTTCATGCTATAAAAGTGCATGAGGACATCCCAACATAAAGCAATTGGTTTTCTTGGGAAACAAAATCCACATTCAATGATGCTAGGTAAAAAAACAAGGGTCAGCTTTGTTGTCGGCCACTGTGTGCAATGCCTTCAGAACTGGACACGGCACTGCGCCGTGACAGCCTGTTGTCTCAGCATCCATGTAGTCATACATGTCAGCTTTGGCTGACCGCACGATCTCAGCAGATGCCTCCTTACAGGTTTTCAGTTCATGTTGGAGGTGGAACATCGCAAAAAGAACATCCAATGCTATACGACTATAAAGCATCAGGAGATGTGGTCAATGCCAAGCATGGTAGCCAAAGAAACTGCATAGGCCCTCCACATCCATGACTTTTTACATGCATGTTCTTTAATGGGAGGGTTTTTATCCGAGCGGTCGGGCAATGCTTCGTTGCCGAGCGGCCCCGCGGCCATATTTCCAGGCGAGATGTCGAGCTTTCCTGGATGGACCTGGCACAAATAAGTGGTCTGCATGCACAGCCCCCTCCAGCCCTAGGGGGTTTGAGGTTTCAAGAAGAAGGGCATGGCATTCTCATCACACTCGTGCGAAATGAACTGAGAGGGAGCACGTGTTTTTCTGGTTTCGATCAACCGTGCCATAGCTCCCCAACATAGCACGTGTTTATGGGAACACGCGCTTAAAAGCACAACTCGAGCTCTATATATGAAAGCAAAAAACTGCTTTCGATCCCAAATATGTTGCATACAGGTTTTCCCGCATGCCATCACATGATGACCAGCGAATCCTTTCAGGGCTTGGACTTCTTGGAGCGGCGCTTCCGGCCAGCAGGTTCTTCTGCCTGGGCCTCGGCTTCCTGCTCATGCGAACGCTTGGCCCGTCCTTTCGCTTTTGGCTTGACTGCCTTGGCTTTGCCTTTGGCAGTAGCCCGAGTAGACTTTCCTCCAGAGGCGCTCTCCGTCGCATCCTTGGTGTCGTCCTTGCCATTTTTCTTTGCCTTGCCAGTGCGACCCTTGTTCTTGTTCTTGGAGTTACCCAGCTTCTTGACCTCCTTCTTGATTTGCCTTCAGAGAATGCCCAAATTTTGCTGAAGGATAGAAACAACAGTTCAAAAGCATATATCAGGAAAATTTCCTGAGACTACAAGTGATTGAGTGATCATTTCATGTATGCCCGGGACTTGTACACATCCAAGTGGCTTGTACTCAGCCTCCAAAGACAGAAGCTGCACACACCTTAGGGTTTCGCAAACTCATGGCTTTTGCGCAGCAGTGTCCACAACAGACATATACATGGAAATACAAGTTCTAAACTGGCTGAGGGGCGGCGATTTCACTGCAAGCTTGGATTTGTCAATATCCGCCACCAACCTGAGTTGCGCGCATTTTTGTTGACCTCGTCCATGTATTCATGCACACAAGTCCACCAGTCCACAGTATATAGCTGCAATATGCATGCATGCACTCATTGGTTTGTGCAGTGCGTGGGATGCATGCAGCACCTGTTTTCAAGATTGAAGCTGGCCACCCATCAGTGGTGCATTACTGGCTCTTTGGAAGGATCGAAAGACATAGTACACTAGGAAGGGGCCTCCCAACCCGTCTATCACGGTTTCTCCTCCATCTCGCTCATTCTTGCAACCACTCGTACCTGGGCGCAGTGGATACACAGCATGAATACAAGAAGCAACAACCGATATATGTGCCCAAAACTGTAACAAATTCATGCAGTTTTGTATATCATTGTTGAACAAGTGCAGGTAGGCTACCCATATACCGCTGGATCATCGCGGCTTCAACAAAGCTTGCACTTATCGTCTCTGAAGATGCGTATACCACATTCATGCCCTCCCATTTGTTCCTGTAGTCATGGGAGTACCCATATTTTCTGTTATGCCAACGGCAATGTGCATCGTGAGTGTATCCAATCTTGAAGGTCATGGGCGATTTCCGTGCTAGATGGTCGTCCAACACTCTGAAGCAATGCTTGAGAACATGACCAGCAAGAGCCCCCTTTCTAGGCAGGTCATAAGACAATCTGTTGTTTTCTTCAATCAAGCGAAAGCAGTCAGCAGTTCTTCCCAACGATAATGTGTTTGTATCCAGGAAATCCCGGTAGGTCCCTCGCTTCGCAATTCGTTGAGTACTGCTCCCACCACTCCAGGCTTCGCTGGGCACACATCCTGATGTGGATGAGACCACTGGCCAGCTGCTCAGAGATGACACTGCCTGGCATCGCTGAAAAAAAATTGTTGTGAAGGTGACCCCGCATCTTTTCGACAAAGCTGATACTTTCCTCATGAAATCTATTAGGATGATTCCTTCCTCTTGGGCACAGTGTTTTCGAAGACATCAACAACCCGCAAGACTCAAGACACCTGGCGGTTGTACTGGATGAGCTCATCAAGCCATCCACTGTGGTCATCAATGCCAGCATGCCCGGAATCCATTACCAGCTTCCACGAGGAAAGGTGCGGGCTCACACCCCTAGAGCCCTTGTGTCATATATGAAGAGTATATAGACAGAACCTTTATAATAACAAGCGCAAAAATCAATCACTGCATGCAGTTCTGTTCAATCCCATTCACACACTATAAGGACCGAGGAACTTTTTGAACCTGTCGGACTTGGGATCAGGGTTGTCCATCTTCATGTCCGTCAAGAGCTTTGCAAAGGTGGTGTAGTGGCCATCAAGTGCGGTCCTCACCTGATCTAAACCATTGCGGAGCCTGAGCACAAAGAAGAGATATACGTAGATTTAGGCAGCGTTGAAGGTTACAATGCATGACCTATAGAGCACTGCTATTCTTCATGGCTTTGTTTTTGAGGGGAGGACACTTCATAGCGGCCAGCAGGAGGGGGGAGATCAGACTGCTCAAGATACGTTCCCATCTCCCTGACTAGGTTGATTTTCTCTTGAATGCTCGACATGAACTTCTCGAGGTCGGGCACCACCTATCGAGATCGATGCAGAGAGAGAGGCCAAACACGGCCAAAGGACTTGGGCGGACATTGGTTGACTATCCGTAGAAAACCTTGCCTTCTCCCCAAGCACTTCTGGCGGCGTGGGGTCACCCTCAGACTTCCACAGGTCAAGCTCCAGGTTGCCAGTCTCCGGGGGCTTCTCAGATGTCTTGTCCTCGGCAATAACCATTTTGTGGAGGCTTCCAATCAAAGGTGCGCATGCAAGCATGAATATATAGGGAACCCCACCTCAAGTTCGGTGATATGAGTTTCCCTGGTCATCTCGGATCGTTTGATCAACGATGAGCACTCATCTTCGACAAAGTATTCCAAGACGGAATTGTCATACTTCCAGTTCCTCAGTGCCACATGCTATTGACATATACGCGTGACTATTGCCATGCGTATATACCAAATACACATGGAAGTTGGAAATGCTTGCATATATACCTGAAGCCCTGGCCGTACCAAAGTGTTGGGGAACTTGGAGCAAAAGGCCACAATGGAGGCGATGTCCTTCCTTGCATCAGGTCAGCAATAAGTTTCTAAAATCCCTATAGGTTTGCATGAACAGTTGCACATTCATCACGTTCCCACATGCAAACAAAGAACGCTGAATACCCCTTCTGGGTCATCTTGGCTTCAGTCATCCAAGACCCATGCACTTCTTGCTCTCGCAAGGCCATCCTTTCCCTGACTACTACAACTCGAGTCAGGAATTCTGCCTCCAGGGTGGCCCATATTTGGTTAACACGCACCCTGTATAGTTAACATATGAACATGCAGTTTCATCATACCACCAAGACTGAGTAACTTGTTTTGTCTAAATTTTATTACACAAACCCGGCACCCTAATCTTCTTGAAGTTCTTGCGATCGGCGCCATGTTTTTTGATGGCATCACATAATGCGAGTTCCAACCACTCCCTCCGCTCCATGTTCGCGTAGTCGTCCCGGATCTCCTGATCCACGTAGCATTTACCTGAAGGCTTCACCTCCACCAACCTTCTCAATCTCATGCGCAGGGCGTCATGTCCCAAAACCTGGGCCGATTGCGAAAAGGCTGACTATATGCAGTGTTGGAATTTGGCAATACCGAAAGCAATTAAGAAGATGGGCACAACCCAGATCAAGTTGGGAACTTTTATAGTGATGTTCAAAGGTGTTTTTGGGGAAGATCCATTCTCAAGAAGAGTAACTGCCTTGCCGTCCGGGGTGATAATCGTATCATCCGTGGTCTTGGTTTCCTTCCCCTTCGCCTCATCCACTTCCATACCATTCGTGCGCCCATCCCCACCCTCACTGGCGGCAGGTGTTGGTGGGGCGATTGATGGAGCTGGAGTGTGGCAAGGCGTGGCTGCACGGGATGGATGTACAGTAGCAGGGCTGGGGGTAGTAGTAGACTGGCTCTTCAAACTGGCGTTCTCCTGCTCTAGATTCTGAATTTTGGCAATGGCCAGTTGCAACAGCTCTCGGTCCACATTGTTATTGTTCTCGGGCTCCGTAGCTGCTGCTGCACGAGGGATCGGCGGGTCCTCAGGAGGGATCGGCGGGTCCTGGCGCCAGTGGACAAATTAATGCACGGTTGCTTCTTATTCCTTGACACTATATACAAAAACGGGTGCCATAAAACCCCATATATTTCAATGTTTTTCACACCTGGTTGTGCAAGATGCCGGTGCACGCATGCAAACTTCAAAGACAAAAACCATGCAGTCCTCCCCCCTCGGCTCATCCACTGGTCGTTCAGGTTCCACTGGGGCCAACTCAGCAAAAAAGAAGCACTGCCCATGCAGTGCATATATAGCTGCAAAACTGTTGGAGCGATGGGGGTTGCATGCATGATTGTGGAATACGACCAGAAATCCACACGGTGCACAGGTGTGGGCTGCAAAGGAATCCAAGGCAGCTGAGCCACAGCGCCACCTGCCTGTGTCTCCATTGAAAAGATTGACGGTGTCCCTGGCGCACTGTCAGCCTCAGCTCACAACAAACATGAAGCATGCACCCTATAGTTTGCAATGTCAGGACAACCAGCACTGCCTTTATTTGTGCAAGCAAAAGACCTTCCCAGAACCAGGTTCCACTTTAACTCTCTTTGTCGGAGCACTGGCCTTACCAGCTTTCAGTGTAGCCAACAAGTCCCTGGCATCCTGAGAGAGCTCATACGTGTGAAATGTACGTGTCTTGGGGATGGAAGGTTGCAAAAACCCTGCAAGTTCTTTCAACTACATGGCCAAACCCCAATCCTTCAAAGCTGTTGACAAATCCGTTCCACGTAGATTCAAATCCTTGATCACCCTGGAGGCGTCTGCACCGTCCACCATGGTGCCGCATGACCAGGCCCGGCTCTCCAAAGTGCGCGTTGACATGTCGCTGGTGGTGACAAAACAAAACCCAAATCCTGTATAGCTGCAGGAGCCAAACCAACAGGATATCCTTTGGATCTACATGGTGTCACACAGAATATGATTGCAATTCCACACCTGTTTTGATCTCCAAAGGTGTTGAACACGATCTCGTACAAATTTCTGCTTGGTTACCTTTTCCGATCAGACACAGCAACAGCCATCAAATTGTCCCATAGATCACGGAGGAACGCCCCCGATCAGCGAATTTCATTGCACTGAAGGGCTCTATAAGGATGCAACCCGAGGTATGCACGCTCACAATTAATAAAAAGATGAATCTAGTCCGGACAGTTTTCGGAAAATATTTTACGTAAATTTTACATAAACCTGAACGTAATGTGAATGCAAAATGAACGTAAAGTGAACGTAAAATGAACGTAATCGAACGCTTTTGGATTTCGGAAACTTTTCACGATTTCGGAAAAAGTTTGTATATACAAAAATATGCAACATTTTTATGTAATTTTTACGCTCTTTTTTGTCCATTGAACTTTATGCATATTTTACAGATTTCTGGTCTCCACCAAAATTTCCAAAAGTTCCCAACATGTACCAAATTGGGTCCAAAGTCACCAATTGTTGGTAAATTGCGGAATGCAAGGAGTGTCCCTGCCCCCAAACCAGTGCATGGAAACTATATATGGATCAGAAAGGTGTGAAATGGATGGAAATGAATATAGTATTTGTGGTTTATAGAGTCAAGCAGCATAATACATGGAGACTCACGACCATTTCTCATCAAATGTATTTCATATATAGAAAGGGTTCGCATGTGGCACCATTCGGTGGTACAGTGGTATACAACTGCATGCGCTGTAAAACTTTACCGCGACATGGTTTGTGTTCATTTCTATACCAGGCCTGCGTTGTTGTTCGCTGCGTGGTTTGTCACGTTTGCTTTGACTCGGGAAGCCTACCACCAGTGCAAGTCAACAATTGATTGACTCCCAGCACCCTACCATCCTATAGTTGCCGGTCGGCATGGATTTATTCCGCCTGAAGTATGCCTTGCTGCTGTTTCGATTCTTGGTGTCAGGGAATTGCATCGCTGCATATCCTGTTGAAAGATAAACTTGACAAAGTATATACAGCTCGAGGTTTTAGTGGTGAGTGGAACCATTTCAATATACTCCCAATTTCCACAATGATTTATGGGGCCTGCAATCATTTCACCAAACTTATTTGATTATATAAGTTTACAGCATCCACTGGCTTGACACCTCAAGTTCCATATACCAGGATATATAGGGGATGTATACATGTAAAGGAGGTCACAACGCCCTCGGGATTGCATCCTTCCAAAAAGTTGGCATATCTAGGCTCTTGTTGCCACGAAGGTAGACCACTACATCCTTCAAATTGGCTTCCCCCCAATCTTCCCAAGCTGCAGATGCCAGTGCTTGGTAAGCAGGCACCTTTTGGTCAAGGGCTTGAACAGGTGGTAGCCCTTCGCCCTGGCTGGCAAGCTCCGGCATGAGCTTGGCAATCTTCTTCCCAAAGAGCCGGGGATATGTCCTGGGATGGCCGTCGAGGAGTATAGTATTGCACGAATGGTTGGTGACTGGTCGACGCATGCAACCCCTGGCTCGAACACGGCAGGCTGAATACCCAAACCTTTCAACCTGGTTGGGAGGGGTTGAGAAGACTATACACTGGGATCGAATCGATTGGTTGTGGGGGCGTCATACCCATGGAGCCGCTCCAACTCATTCTCATGTTACAACGCAAAGGAAATGAGGTATATTTACCTTAAGAAGTGCACGCATGCAATAAGGTCTGCATGAAATATATATGATTTGCTGAAGGCCTTTTCGGTAACAAAGGCACTCAACATGTTCCCATGCTTTTTGTTTGCACTGAGTGTGCTCGAATTCACAAAGAAACCGTACCACCTGCAAACATGTTGGGCCAGGGTGCTGAGTGGATTTCAACTGCGAAGTTCCCTGATACCCACCGTTCGAAGTTCTCTTTGTAGTCTTCAGCGTAAGCCCCAACCTGGCTTTATCGACCTTTGTCAAACGACCCATGCAAAACTTTGCTGTAAACCTGTTGTTCGAGAACATCTTTTCACGTTTCGGGCTCTTCGCTCCGTAGTGGCCCATCCACCATGCCACCTTGTACACCTGGGCAAGCGACGGGAAGGCTGGGGCTTGGTGTCATCGACGTGCGCCCTCTGACCAATCCCGCCACGCGCCAAGAGGTTGGGTTGGCCTAGATGGTCATGGGACATGTATATAAATAAACTATATAAAAAGCATCCTTGTTGCCAAACCCTGTGTTTGAGGTTCAGGGGTGTTGCACGGGCCCACAAGCAAACCAAATCCCTGTGAAGGTGGTGGATTCTCAATGTTTTATAGCTATAACGTCAAGGCACTCTGAGCCTTCTGTAAAGCCAGACCATACGTTTGTAGTGCTGCATGAGTGAGGAGCCAGGGGTCTCCAAACCAAACGATCCACCCAAGCATGCAGCTAGAAGCATGCAAAGAACACTCCTGGCGGAACAAGAAAACCGTTACCCGCACATCAAAGTCAAACAACTGAAAACACTCCCACATAAACGACAAACCCTGGCAAAACCCTTCAATTGAATAAGAGAGCGATACTTATATAGTCTTTCACACAACAAGTCGGTCTACAACTTGTATATGTCCTTGCCAGCAAGGCATTTCCTTGTTGAACTGAATGATGCCGTTCTTGTCCATCGGGTAGCAACATGGATCTCCGGCTGGTTCCAACATTCATATGCACCCATGTGCTACAAGGTGTACCCAAAAGCAAGAAGAACTTTCCATACTCGCAATTCAGGATCAGCCAAACGGCAATCCTCATGCGTGCTGTGTCAAAGCACTATACATGGCACTGGTCGCTGCTTGACAATGACAAGAGCGCAACAGAAGTTGCATGCACATGCATGCATGCACTGTAAAACAACTAGGTCTCCTACGCAAATCCCGCTGGAGATAAGAAGTCAAATGGGTTTTTCCTGTTCTCAAAGCCGAAAGATTTACCGAAATCCCACTCTTGGGCAGCCCCATTGTATGAGGCTGAACGCACTTCAGCAAAAGCATTCCCTTGGCCAGCAAATAGTTCGACGTAGTGCAGTGCCTGCGTGCCAGAAGTGAGTGAAGACTTCGCGTATAAAAAACACACCTCATTTCCCATGCACGAACAATAACATGTGTTGCTTTCAGGCCCCATGTTGGTTGGGTCGAGTTGTTGAGACGCTTTACCCAAGGTCTCACAAGCATAAGGCATATTGTGCGTGCAGACTTTTGCCCCCTTTGCCTAGCCTTGTCCAAGGACCCAAGATTCTTGGAGAAGTACACGAGGATCACGATGCAGATGAAGGCCTGCAACAAACGGCTGTGCGTGTCAATATTCCCAAATATTCTCAAAGCATTCTCAATAAGGTCCATGCAATTTATGTTGGACAGCTTTAACTTTGGATACCAGGCGCTTGAGTATATTGTGGTCACAACTTCCGTGCATGACTCTCTCCCACAACTTTCTGTGTTTATGCGAGTCAAGACTAACAAAACCAAAACTATACCTGAGTGGCAAAAAAGTATATGCGTGCAGGTCTAATTCAAGCGATGAGGCAAACAAAAGCAGTGTTGCCGGATTGCCTTCGGAGCATGGTAGTGGAGAAGTCGGTAGACAAGGAGGTCCAAGTCAATACCCTTCATGGCTTCTATATACTTGCGCGAGTCGCTGAAACTAACGTGGCGTTCAACAAAAACAGTCACGCAATGTCATATATGCATGTTATGGTGATTGTGCAAACTCCTGTGTATATCCTGAATATTTTTTTGGGGGCGTTGCTGCATGCCAATGTGCACATCCCAACCTGCTTTCATGAGACGTGAATGAGCCAGTTGCCTTGTCATTCATACAAGCTGAAGGCACATGGCAGGAAAGGACTTAGTATACATGCGCAGTTTGACCTCTATATATAGCCAAGCAAGTTCAGTTATACACATAATGTATCAGAAACTGCGTGATGGCACTGGAAGCTCGACAGTTGTTTCACACAAAAAATGCCAAACCCAATTAATTAACGCTAATGTTGTTCGCTTGAAACAAAACATGCCAGCGCAGCGGCTCGCGACGCTAGACTTGACACTTCGCCGCACTCCATTGCCTTTCGTCCCACGGAACAGCCTTTTCACCACCATCACCTGGCCGAAATGCTGTGAGGAGACACGATACAATTTGAGAAGGCACAGCGCGTCCCCTCGGGTCAGGAGTTCTGCAAACTCACGGGTGGTGCGTTTGTATACCATTGCGCGCGGCTGCAATGTGGCCCAGGTTTTGCTTTGTTCGCAGAGTCCGGTGCTAAGATCAGAAACTCCAACACATGATGTGAATTAACTCACTGTCATGTGAAGCCCCTCAAATTGGCCAAACGAAAGGCACTAGCCATTCCCAGCGCACTTTCAGAAACCCCATGCTGAGCCTGGTGGATGATGAGCCTGAAACTGAACTGTTTGACCTTTGAAGCTCATATATAAAAACATGCAGGTTCCGTTGTTTAATCGAAAACTCTTAGCTTGAACACTTCCACCCTATGCTCGCAGTCATCATGGTCCTCAAACAATTGATAAAAAGCGAGGGCGATCTGACATGCTCAGATGTCGTAGCCAAAGCCCTTGAATGCTTTGCGCTGAAGTTCCTTCAAGCCATTGACGCAGTCCTTGATAGCTGCCTTGGAGAGTGCGTCACTTGCCATCATTGCTTGCACCTTGGGCCCACGAAAGCATGCAGAACAATATTTGACTTAATTGGGGACGATGCATCGCAAGCTTCGACTCACATGTGACATGCGCACGAAACAGGTTTGCCAACTGAACACACATGTCAACATATCGGGCTAATGCATCCCAATGACAAAAGCTTGCCCCAGTAAATAGTTCACATAGAAGCAGCCGCCGGCGGAAAAGTATGCAATTTGGCTAAAGTTTTGCGATTTCCATTTCTTCGCGTTCGCTTTGCCATTCTTGCTAGGTTTCTTGCTTTCCTTCTGGGGCTTCTTCCATGGCAACAGGTCCCTGGAAGCCTTTACTCCCACAGCGTCTCGGGTCCAGTAGGAGGTGAGTTGAAAATCCTTTGACGGAACGGTCATATCAAAGTCTGGATGCAGGCATTCAGTCTCACCACATTCTTCCAAGACCCGATTGATTTCACCCAAGATCTTTTCACGATCAAGGAGGCCAAGTGATGTGTTTGAAGTGCCTTTCTTCTGCTTTCCAGTCTTTTCTTTTTCCTTGTCCCCTTGACCTTTTTTGGCACCACCGTTGCGCCGGGTCTTCCCACAGCACTCCTTGCTCTTGGTTCTCTTTCGGTTTGTCCTGCTTGTGGTTGGCTCCTTTCGGATTGGGCCATCGGACGATGAAGCAATCTCTTTGCTGTCGGGCAGGTTGAGCTCAGTGGCAGCTTCTACAGCAGCACTCGAGGAGAGAAGTTCAGCAGCGGCATGAGAGCCGGCAGGGTCGATGGGACCATCTTGGGCCATTTCAGCACTCGTGTTTTCTTTCCGTTTCAATCCATTCTTCATCTTGCGCATTTTTTGCAAGGACTTGCTTTTCCTTCCACTCTTGATGCCCCGTCGAGTGTTCTTACGAGCCTTGCCCTTCGAGGCTTTTTTGTTCTTGTTCTGATTCTTCTTTGCTTTTCCCTTCTTACCATTGGCTGGCTTGTCGCCATCGCCACTCGCTGCTGCTTTCCTTTTGTTGTGTTTTTTCTCAGCTTTCATTTCTTCGATGTCATCCTTGAGACCGAATTGCAGCCGTCGTGTGACTGGCGGGTGGTCTGGTACCTCTGGAAGGTCCTTCAAGGGCAGGTATCTATAGCATCATAACCAACAACATGTCGGAAAAAGGAACTCATTGACCCAAACCTTTGCAAGAGAGCTGGAAAAACTGTCCTTACTTTCGAGAGCAGTGCTGATGAGCTTGTCCTCCTTTTTCAACAACTCTTTCACGGAAGCCGTGTGCTGCAATTCATTTGGCGACACAAGCATTTGGGTCTCGGCATGGTCCGGAGCGTATGGAAGGGACTCGACAACCATTGTAGGTGGAGAACCTTGGCCAAGAAACGTGACCAATGTTGTTTTAATCATGGGAGGTGTTGGAGGGTTACAAAGTTCAATTGAGGAAGTTTTGTTAGTGCACCCTGACGGTTCCCAAGACGAGCCTGCGCCGGCAGGAGGAGGATCCTTGCCCTCCACCTTTGACACCTTTGGGCTGTCACCGGAAGGAGCATCCGCCGCTTGGCCTTGCAGCCTCCAGAGCAATCAAGGTACATACACAAGCACATGTCCTTTTGTTGCATGCAGAGAGGGTTTTGCAACCTTCATGTCACCTAATCACCTGGAGATACCCCAAAGTTGTTGGTATAAAAATAGGGTGGGGCTTCAAATAATGGAAGCCACAGCGCTACATGCCAGTTGTTTAGGGCTGAATCTGATATAAATTGATGACAAAGTCACATGTCGATCTGTTCAAGCACGCTGACCAAATCGTTCATCATCAAGGCTTCAGGGTCCTCCCCCTCATCCTCTGAGTCATTTGGAATCCAAAAGACGTCCACCTGGATGTGAGTGGGACACACTGGGTAAACAAACGGTGATTCGCTTGCACACTGGCACCTATATGACTTAATTCCCAATATCACCAGCATACACTATAAGAAAAACGTGCATGAGCATGCATTGCGTAAAACTTTCACCATGCATGCTCGTCATGCATTATACGTTCATGGGCCTTCTTGCATTCATCCTTCTTGCGTTCATCCATTGGAGCCGAAGGAAGACACGGCAAAGGATTGGCATCATGCTTCTTCACTGAACCACCACCGGCTTCCGGAACCTTAGGACATGGACGGAACCCAGTAAACTCCATGATAGTCATTTGACGCCATACACGTTGTGGAAGTGCTGGTTTGATGGTTGGCTGGTTCCGGAAAGGTCTGAAAATGCAAGCAGCTAGTTCTTCCAAGGTCGTCTGACGGCCAAGCATAGTCCCAGTTTGATCTGGAAGTCCAGGTAGTGCCGAAAGAACAGAACCTCCATCCATACCTTGAAGCACTGGCGGCACTGATGGCGATGTCATTGGAGTCGCCACTGGCCGCGGTGCAGGAGTCTCAAGCTCTTCAGGGCAGTCCATGATGGGGTATGGTTGGCCCAAAGAGCCACTGCTGCTCCCTTTTCGCATCCCTTCCCTGTCAATGCCCAAGAAATTGGCCACCTCTTGTAAAGCAGCATCATCCTGCAAAACCGATGTGTTTGCATGTGTGCTATGTCAATGCTTGCATGCACTGTGTCATTGTTTTCATGGTGGCGATTGGTGGCGCAAGCAAACCCCAGTGAGCATATATACGACCATGCACTCTACCATGCATCACTATACAGCACTACCATGCACACTGTAGGGCTTGTAACTGAAATGGGGGCCTTGACACAGGAATGTACATGAAATTGCTTTTAACGGAGTACCCTTGTCCTCTGAGAGATGCTTGCGGTGCAGCACAGTATTCTTGGCCAGTGAGAGTAGCCGCCGAGCTGCCCATGATTCTTGGTATAGGGTGTCATAGGTAACCACCCTCTTGAAGCGCATGTAGAGGTTCCGAAATTCCTCGATGACGTTGTCGATCATCGGAAGCTGGAGATCGTTCTCCTTCATTTTTTCAAACAAAGGTTGGAGCTGGAGCCTGTTGTGTCGCAGGTTGTGGATTGTTTTCTCCACATAAAGATTCGAGAGCTTCTTGGTTTCTGGGTCATAGTGCATTATGACTCTGTTGTGGTGCCTCATACGTTCCCTCACACAATCCAGGTTGTCCCACAGGAGGTCAATACCCTTCAAGCTGTAGCTCCCCACTTTCTCCGCTGCCGATGATGGTGAACCACTCATGGCAACTCCAAATCCAATCCTGTCTCCAAGACCCGAACCGGAAGCAGCTGCGATTAAGGAACGGCGAATGCAGCCTGAGAGCTCGGCCCAGAAAGAATCATGTAGTGCACTGCATCCACTGCAGTGGACAAAATTGACCCACTCTTGGAAAACATATAGTTTGATGTGCCAAGTACTGGGGTTCTTGCGCAATCCTAAATACAAAGATTCCAAGAAAGACTGCAGTGCAAACATGCCAGCTCGGCGAATGGATGGTTTGCTTCAAGTGGCCCATCGGCGGAAATTCAAATTATGAATTGGCACGTAAAGCATGCAGATCTTGTACTTGTATGTTGTGTGCATGGAGACATGGCCTTGAAGCATATACTTGCACATCAATTGCATCATTCAGTTTTTTGTCGGAAAAAAGTGGTCTGGAGAGGGCCTGTGCAGGTTTTCGCTCTCCCACAATTCCTGCATGTTGTCTTATAGGTCAATCTTTCAACCCATTTGTTCAGCATTACCTAAACATGTTTATCACCAAGGGGTGCCCTATAGACAAAACCATGACATTTGCCCTTGGAGCCTTCGTTCAGGCAGGCGGCGGAACACACCGATTTGGTTTTCATGCTTGGTCAGCAAGCCCTTCCAAACTTCGATGGAATTCGCAAATTCGGAGACATTGTGTTTTTCGGAAACTCATCCTCAGAACGGAGAAAATCGTATCCGACAATAATTTTTATCATGTCTGCGAATTTGAACTTATTTTGATCTTGAGTAGAAATTTCAACTCATACGGTTTCCCAGGTAGTCTTCACCGTCATAGGATCACAGACCATGCAACTTCTGATGCATGGCTTGGTTCCAGTGCAACCCTTCAAACTGAGAGTACTTTGGACTACAACCATGGAGTAGTTCGTGGTCCAAACCCATTCCGAAAAAGGATGTATTATACTGTTTATATTTGGATTGATTGAAGGATCGGTTGCAATCAGAAATACCTTGAGGTCCCAATTCTTTGTGGAAACAACAAGTCATCCTTCCTCACTTTGAAGGATAGCCCAGTTTGATCACTTTGACCCACTTGCGAAAGCCAACATAAGCTCCCAACTCCGAACTCCCAACAAAATCTGGAACCATACACAGGTGCGTTCTCCCAAAGAAAAGATCACTCGACTCAACCCGCCAAACCTTCGAACATGCACGCAGTTCAGTTCAGTTCAGCACGCGTGAACCGCACATATCACCGTTCGCACGCACGTGTGGGACGGACGGACGTGTCTTCGGCCTTGGTCACCTTTCTCAGTCGGCGGCAGGTGATCTCCCAGCTCTCCCAGGGACGTCCGGAGAGGTGCCCCATCGACGTCAGAAGCCTGGGCGCGCTGTCTTCCGCCGCCGTTCGGTTCGGTGAGTCGAGTCGGGAGAGAGAGGAGAGATGAGGAGAGTCTGTTTGTGTTTCCACCCGTGGGGAAGGGTGTTTTGGGGTGTTTGGAACAGTGGAGACGGGAAGGAGCAAATCGAATTGTGAAGGAAGGAAAACAGCAGCATTCTTCCCTAAGAATCATTGGACCCGACCACTTCTGGAGGCTTCCAAACCCCTGCAGAACGCAGGGGTTTGGACCCGAACCAAACCTTCACCTTTGAGGGTCCTTGATTCTTAGGGTTAAAAATCAACACATGTCCGTTGTTTTGACCACTGATTCTTAGGGTTTGGACCACAAAACATGTTGTGTGGTTTTTATCCCTCTCCCACTTCAGTGGCTGGACTCCACTGGGTCGTCACTGGCTCGCCAAGCGGAGCGTCGCAGAACTGTTTCCTTTGACCAGAACGGGTGGACAACACCAGCTAGTGCCTCAAGCTTGTTGCTTTTGGATATTGTTTGGTGTTTGCATTTTGGATGATTTTGGCTTTGGTTGGTTCCAACAGAAGATCCTTATATCTGCTTGTTGTGACCGCATTTCGGTCCAATCTCCTGCCGCACAGCTTGTAGCAATGCTCCATTGTGGTCCACTCCCGCAGTCCAACGGACACTTCGCCAGTCCAGAAGACGAGGACTCTTCCATCCAAAACCATCCACCTGGACTCACCATGCACCGCACCGGGCCTTGCCGCCAGGCATGTGCCCTACCGGAACTCAAAGTTGACCCAACTGCTACAGGAGCCGAACCCGCCGCTGCGCGATCGGCGGCGTGGGTCCAGACTTCCGATCTCTTCCGGGTTTGTGTGTTGTCGATAGACTAGTGGAGAGGTTGTTGAACGGAGAGGGTGTGTTTGCAAAACGAGGAGGTCCATGAGGTCCCTACGAGTTGAAAGAACATGTTTGGAGGATGTGGCTGGTATTGTTTGACCCATGTTGAAAGGTGATGGTGCTGCAGTTCTTGTGTGGTGATGGTGTGCGCATGCAGTTAGGTTGTGGGTGGGAAGTTCATGTGTGGTGCTCCAGAGGCCATGTGCTTTAACCCGGACACTCCCATGATTTCATGCACGCCTCAACCCAGAGCACAAACAGGACAATACCGTTGTGTTTGTTTCAG